CTTTCCAAGATTTAATAACACATTCGTAGCACTTGGAAAAAGTTGAATTGTAACCGATGGACTTTACAACAACTTAGAAGAGCTTGTGTACAAGCTGTATGGACTTAAAAGACGTACACCCCGCAAGGCAACATCTGTTTTGGGAAAAATATAACAAAAGTGGTAAATTTGTAGACCTTTCCTTCTTACCACCCTGTAAAGAATGCCTGTATCTACACATACAGAGAGCCAATTATGTCTGCCGTTTATGGAGGCAATCGTGTGTCCCCATAATTGATGCTCCAAATCCACAGAGTCATGGGTGGACCGCTGACAGCGAAATTCTTTGGACAAATGCTGTGATGTCAGAGCTTGTGTACAAGCTGTATGGACTTAAGAAAATAAAAGACGTACACCCCGCAAGGCAACATCTGTTTTGGGAAAAATATAACAAAAGTGGTAAATTTGTAGACCTTTCCTTCTTACCACCCTGTAAAGAATGCCTGTATCTACACATACAGAGAGCCAATTATGTCTGCCGTTTATGGAGGCAATCGTGTGTCCCCATAATTGATGCTCCAAATCCACAGAATCATGGGTGGACCGCTGACAGCGAAATTCTTTGGACAAATGCTGTGATGTCAGATGATCTGATCGAATTACTTACTGAAACAAGTGAAGGAAGTGAAGGTTACAGTGACAGTAATAGTGAAATTGACGACAAATTTAGAAGTAGACATAGAGGATGAAATGTCGGAGAGTGAGGATGAATTTTTAGGTACTTAATATTAAAGTTTTAAACATTTACGACCAAAATTACATTGTAAAACATTATTTTGGTATTTACAGACTAGTGGTGTAGGCCCTGTCTCTTATACACATCTAGATGTGTATACCCAATAACTTTTGAACGAACCCTACACCTGTCCAACTGTCATTTTTTCTCGAATATATGACCTAAATTACATTGAAAACATTATTTTCGTAAACTATTGCACATTTAGGACCCCTTTCTTAAATATGCCGAATTTAACATTTGACCCCTCATATCTCGAAAAATACCCCTCCCTGGACCAATCAACAATCAGATTCCCATTCTACGCCCAAAAATATGTCAGAAATGTTTCTTTTTTCACATTAATCACACAGGCAACACCCTTTTCCAGATTATGTCTTATTTGACCTTTGACCCCAATAACTTTTGAACGACTCCATACCTGTCCAATTTACTGTCATTTTTGGAATCTTGACCTAAATTACATTAGAAAACATTATTTTGGTACACTAATTCACTTTTGTGATCCCCTTCCTTAAATATGCCATATTTGACCTTTGACCCCACATATCTCGAAAAATCCCCCTCCCCGGACGGATCAACAATCAGATTCGTAATCTACGTCAAAAAATACATTAGAAAAAGTTGGTCTGGTAAATTCTGCAAAAATGTGACACCTTCCTCCAAATTCGACCGGTCTAATTATCATTATCATCATTATTATTATTGTTATTTTTAATATTATTATTAATATTATTATCGAGAACGATCAAGAATCATAATACAGTATATATCATATTCGCACGATGTGCATTAGAAGCCGCTATCGAAACGTACATTTCCGTGGAGTAGCCTATACACTAACAACGGTTTGTTTGTACTGTATTTGTTTTCTCCAGTAAACATCGCAAATAGGGACCTAGCTGGTACATATGGAGTTATTAATATCAAAATAATTATAACTCCATGGCATGGTATCGATAGTACTTACTGGTGTTTATTTCATGATTAGTCAGTTCTATATATTGATGTTAGCATTCGAATAAAGGTATTATTGTCTGGAAATCCTGGCGTACTTAGTTGAGGGTCTTAATTTGCGGGGTCTGATATTTTGAGTGGGTCTGATATCTCGTGGTCTTAGGTCTTAGCTTTCGTGGTCTGAGCTTTCGGGACACCCATAGGTAGCCTGCTGTTCATTAATCTAAGCAGCCTACACAGTGTGGTGGGTGCTCTAGGCCTAGGAAGAGCTTAAAAATGAGATGATTTTTCTATTACTTGTGTGTAATTATTTTACTCCCAACTGGTAGTGGCATAAATACCAGGGGCAGATTTGGTGGGGGAGGGGCCGGTCTGGCCCCCCCCCCATTTTGGAAGGTAAAAAAAAAAATTAGAAAAAAGCAGGCCCGTAGCCAGGGGGCGGGGGGTTTATGGTTCGGGCGAACCCCCCTTTTCTAGCGAACCCCCTCGCATTTTTGAATGAGTCCCACTCGGACAGAATGTCGTTTTTAACTTACCCAGCATTAAATCAAAATTTAGCACCTAATTCATTATTTGGTCACCCGTTTTTAAATTGTAGCATGCCATACAAGCCTCATTCATAAAATATCTTAGCTTCAGAAGTTCGGAGATTTAAATTGAACACAACTCCAGCAAACCATGACTTTACGATGGCACACATAAGGATGGCAAACATCGATAAAAACCCGGCTGCCGTCTCAACTTTCACTGGCCTTTGGCTGAATGTGTGTAAGAAATATACCAACTGGTAACGAAACTGGTTGCCGTCTACCTACGGGTAGAGTAAATAGTGCCACCAAACGAAGCTAAAGTTTTGCGACTTAATGCACCAAATGCAGATAAAGTTTTGCGACTTAATGCACCAAATGCAGATAAAGTTTTGCGACTTAATCCCCTGATTGTGGATTGTGTGGTTAGTAAATTCCATAGCCATACTGCACCATAGCGCACACTAAATTATGTGCTGATGGAGTATTTTGGGGAAATTGACTCTTCTTTTTTCCATCCCAAGCAAAATATTTAATAAATCAACATGGTCCATCTCAGATTCTCAGTCATCATAGCCAGTCACAAAATTAGGCTAGGAATTTTGTTTTCAACAGCAGACACACACTACAGAACGGAGTGCATCAAAACGAGTGTTTGTTAATTTTTAGTGATAAAGAATCATGGAACGTCGTAGAATAACTGAATTTTTTTCGTCGGCTTTTGCAAAAAAGAAAACGACAGATAGTCCTTTAAGGTGGGTTATTGATTTCAAAATCAATTAGCCTAGACTAGATGTTGACTAGCTAGGTTCGCTCCTCGTTCATTTAGAGACAGAATTATACCCCGACGACAACAGACTAGTGGTGTAGGCCTAGGCCTTGAGCACAGTAGGACGTACTACAGGCTGCGGTACTAGGCCTAGGCTTTTGTTGTAAAAGTTGAAGTGCATACAGGATGCGCCATGGGCCTCTATTTACAAAAATACATTTTGTTAATTATTATTGGTTGACCTAGGCAGGCAGGCCAGCTTTACCGTCGAAAGTCCTGGGATTCGACGATGACAAACGCAATAGACGCGCTGAATTTCGTTTTTTTTTTTTTGTTTTTTTTTAATGAAAGATAAAATTTATCGAATATTTATCTATAAAAACAAGATTAATATTGTAGAAATTGTATTTCTAAAGATGCATATTCATATTTCATTTGGTAGACAATAAATATTCAGTAAGATATGCTAAAAATGATTATTAATTCTGAAATGTGCATCAAATCTCAGCTATTATTAATCAGTATGTATTATGTTAAAGTCTTAAAATAATAATTCGAATTAGGCCTAGTATATAACAAATAATTGTAATTAAAGTTTAAGTTCTCATGATGTCAGATGATGTATAATAATAATATAATAATATAATATAATATGATGCTATATTTTGTGAAGTAGAATAGAAAGAGGAAGAGGAGGAAGAAGAAAAATTTTTTGTTTGTTTTAAAATAATAAATGTGTTGAGTATATTGATATTGATTATGCGATGAGGTTTTTTTTTTTTATATCTTTCGGTGTGATTTAAACATGCCATTTCTCAGAAAATATTATCTAATTTTATTATATTACTACCTTTTTATAACATAGATCTTTTTCAAAACATAACTGCTTTTATAACATTATATAGACCCATTAAACACAAAACTGCTCTGGCTTCGGGTCTTCGCCCACGACCGCACCGTGGCCCTGGACCCCATGCCCAGAGAAAACCCCCCCCCCCCCAAATGACCTGGCTACGGACCTGAAAAGAAAGGACAAGAAAAAAATGATCGCCCAAAACGCCTCAGAGGTTATTTCGGTTGTCTAAAACAAAAAAAATTTAGCACTGAACCCCCAGGCCCTTCTTCTACCCCCTCTCCCCCCTTTCCTACATCTCTGGATCCGCCCCTGAATAGCGTGTGTGCATAGGCGGGAACTCATTACCCATACCACGTTTCCCAACCCCATTTCCCCTTACCATCACCCCACTCTGTTGTCTCATTCCGTTGTCCTCACCCCTTCGGTCCCACCCCTTTGGTCCCACCTCATCGACCCAATCCCATTAGTCTATCCTAAACAAATTCAAAATGCTTATATATTTTCAGAATTCAAAATATTCATACATTTTGTACTGGTCAAAATTGCACTGCGGGGAGGAAAGGAGTAATTCTAGTTAATTTATGGTAAATTTATAAAGCAAGGCTATGCTAACCATTAGCATAGATCCTGTGCAAGTGTAGCAATTACTGTAAAGGCTTGCTGGTGTTGGAATTTATGGGTCTAGGAAAATGCTTCGCTTGATTTGCATTCAGTTTAATATATTTTACTTCAAAAAATAATAGATTAAGCTTTTATATTTACATCATGCATGAGTTTGCTTTACTACAATACTTATTGATCTTTACCTATTCAGAATATATTAACAGATAAATTGAATTAGAGTTTTTCACAAACACAAACATGTAGAAATAATCAATAATGAAAATATTTTTAATAGACAAATCTAATATTTCAGCTGTTACATTGTGGTGTGAAATTTAGTGTCAAGGGGCCAAGTTTTTCAAAACGTTCATCTGTAATAATCATTTTGGAGGCTTCCAAATCTGCTTTTACATTCACTATTTTTTGTTGTTACATCTTAAAGCGAAAGCAGATTTCTATTGGGATAAATATGTTTGCAAAAGTAAGATTTTTTATTGTAAATGTATGTTTCAGTGGTTTCCACCATCACATATTGGTTTATATTGGAGCATATTATCATCGAGTGTAAACATAGCTAGTGGTATAGGCCCACTAGTGGCATCAATGTTAGCGTCTGTATATGGATGGCGAATAGCAACACGAACCTCAGGTAAATCATTTCTTATTGCAGTGGCTTACGTTTAACACATTGACCCCTGTTTCTGCCAGTAGATAACTCAAATGCAGTTTTGTGGTAGAGAGCTTTGTCACCTTTTTTAAATGTAGAAGATTCAGTACCCTCCCAACACACATAATTTGTAAAGTACAATGCTAAAACATATTTTTCTGACCAAACGAACCATTTGCTAATAGGTTTGGCCAACATAATTTTTCTTTGAATAATGTAAAGCAAAATAATATTTTTAATAATAATAAATAATAATAATAATAATAATAATAATTTTAGGTAAATTGTAACTCGAATGCGATGCAGTATCTCTATCTAGAATCCAAACCGTAGGATATTATAAATTGATATACACTACAAAATAAGGCTATCAATGTAAGTGTTATTGTTTATCTTTTTTTGTAGCACTATTAGCAGTTGCTATGTCATTTTTGTTATTCATCTTCCTGAAGGAAAGCCCAGTTGATGTAGGCTTAACAGCATTCTCTCAAGATGCAAAAAAGAAAGGTAACGTAATAATCCTTCCAATATGGTGGTGGATGTAAGTGGTGGAGACAAGTGGTTATGATTATGGTGATGGTTGATTATGATAATGTTGATGATAGTTATGATTTATTTGGTATCAATACTTAGAAACAATATTGATTATGGTATTTGGTGATTGTTGTGATAATTATGGTGATGATAGTCACAGTGGCACTGATACTTGATAGGAATATATCTAAAATCTAGAAGAAAAAAAATAATGAAATTATGATCTTTATTGTATTTTGTCTAAAATATTTGCAGAAAGTGTTCCTGTGAAGAATATTGTGCAAACTCCTTTCCTGTGGGTGATGTTCTCTTACAATTTGCTGAATGTTTTCATGTCTCATGCATTCTCAGATTGGGGCCAACTTTATCTCATACATGAATTGAACTACCCACCTACTACAGGTAATAATTATTGTCTGTTTTGATAAACTTTACAAAATCTAATGAATTTTTCACATCAATGTACAAGGCAAGTGACCATTAGCATTTAGTGATGTGAAAGCCATTTCATAGAATATGTGATAATTTATGGTTTTCGCTAGGCTGCTACAATCAAGAGGAAACAGTCATTAAGAAACTGTAGGTAGCGGTAGCTTTTGATACAATGGAATGGGAATTCCGACTAATCAATGCGCAAGCGCAGTTACCAAAGAACGTCTGTTAAATACTGTATATAAAAACACAGTGAGCATGCGCTTGGAAAGGCTAGACAGCCAGTGAGCATGTGCACTGAGTAAGTGACGTTGTCGAGCATGCGCAGTTATCAAAAATACTTCTCAGGAACCAAACAGCGTATGCGAAGAGGGTATGAAGTAGAGATGAGAGTAAAATATTGAACAATTAAGCATGTGCAACTCAATCTAAAACCGGCTATGATGGAATTTATCTAACTAGTCCAACCCAGCCAGCAGAATAATAAAAATAATAAAATATTTTTAAAAGTTGAATACAAATAAATAATATGAAATATTAAAAAATAACTAGCATATACCCGTGCTCCGCACAATTGAATGAGTGGGGGAAGGTTGCGATGTATATTGTTGAATGTTATGGGAGGTCGAGGAGGCAGTCGTTGTGGATGTTATGGTTAGCATGTTGTTATTTTTCTAAAGGATGTCTTTGTAAATAATGTTTTGAGTGTCTTCGCTGAATGTTCCTTGTGGTGTGAGGAATTATTAAGGATGAAGGGCGGATCCAGAATTTTTTAATCGGTTCCACAACAGTTTTAGAATAAATGAGTAGCACATAACATTAATATGCATTAAAATTTCAAGAATTTTGTGCCAAAAAGAGGAGGCACGTGCCCACACCCCTCCCCCCATCCTTACTGGATCCGCCATGCCTGTTGATCCTACGTATTTACGTAAATTTGAGGTGTTGATTGGTGGAGCTGGCTTGACCCTAAATTTAAACTTCAGTGTCGCTATTGAGTACTAGTGTTGTGTCATGATACTACTCCGTTGCTATCGGTGAGACAAAATGCGTTCAACCGGACGCCATTTTTTCAAAAAACCATTGATCCCTAAATGCTAAAGCCCTTTCCCTTTCTAACCATTCTGCTGATCTGATCCCCCTGCCCGACAACAATCTAATGGTGGAAGTCTATGCAATGGAAGATTATTTACAGCTCCAATGCAAAACCAAAAGATTTTCTAATAGTTCCATACCTTATTACATTCAATTACTCAATATCTCATAACACCCTTCTCACCCAATTATTCTCCCTGGCGTTTGAGGCACTGGCTGCTCCCCTCTCTTACAACAATGAAGTTGCTTCACTTGCACATGTTTATTTTGTTTTTTGAAAATTTTTTTCCCCCCTTTTTTGTGAATTTTGTATGTGAACTTTTGTACTTTGTAAAAGTTGCTATCAATTTGGCCTTTGTCCACATATAGAAACCCCAGTATATGAGCACATTCCTGCCAGCGGTTTCAGAGGAGATAGGTGAAGTTACGTGGTGGCGATTAGCAGAATTAATATATAGATAATGATAATAATAACAATAATAATGATAATAATAACTACATTTGAACTCGTCACTGAGAACGAGTTAGGTGATCCGCCGCACTTCGACCCTCGAGGAAGTGTGCGCGGTGCGGATTGAACAATATTTAAATGCTGATAATGGCAAAATACGCTAATTTAGTTTGTTAAAAAAGAATTTGGAGTATTTTAAAAGATTTATTCATGCGTACGCGCACGTCATGACGCACGTGCGCATCTTAATGTCACTGTTGTCTCCTGATATGAGATATATATGTATCAACTTTCATTGACAAATGCCTGTTGGTGAAGGAGTAATGATCATTCATAGTATTTATCATATACAAAAATTCAGTTTTTTGAAATCACGACTGGTTAAGGTGATTATGGAGTCATTAAATGTTTGAGGAAAGAAGGATGAGGGGGTAATTAAAAACCTTTATTTTTACCATGATGACGTCATCAAAATGTTAAAAGAAGTTACATAACGAAAGAGAATTGCCTCAGCTATAACATACTCAAAGTTGGAAGACAATTGACCAAGAATAAGCGAGATACGCTCAAATGCGCATTTTAAAAAATGACGTCATCGATAAAATTCAGTTTTGTTGAATTAAGATGGTAATATGATGACGTCACAATGTCCGATCGGCCATTATGAGCTAGAAAATCATATTTACAACTCATGTGCTTTCAGAATATGTGATAAAAATTGGGGGTCACCTTTCATCCTAAAGAGCTGTAACTGTTTAAAATCAGGCCTGATTTTAGTAAAATTTCACTGTATATCGGCACAAATGCGCACAAAGTTCACTATGTTTGATGCGTGTGTACGGCATTGTTATTGGCCATAAGGTGATTGAAAAGATCGGAAACTTGTAAAAACAATGTCAGGAACCCAAAATGTGACAAAAAAAACTTAATTTTTAGCCTCTGTACCTGCTGCGCGCATTAAAATGAGCACGCGTAGTGGTAAATTTCAAAAAATTTTGAAATGCTCAAAATGGCGTGTAACGTGCTCTAATTTAGTCAAAAAGTGATTTCGAGCATTTTTGAAATTTTGACGTATGCGTTACGAAGCACACACGAAAAATTAGGGTACAGTACATTTAACATTGACCTTAAGTTAATGCTAATTTGATACGATTTCAAAATAGCAAATGGTTAGGCTGATATGATCGATAATGTAAAAACGCAAAATTGCGCATCTAGCTGACGTCACGCATGACTGGTCACCTTGAAAACCTTACCATGTCTATTGCAGGCGAAGCCAGAATGATCGATGCAGCGATTTTGTGTGTACCTCGTATCGATTTTGAGATATCATGCAAACAAAAAAGGGGAGAAAGAAAAAAAAAAGATGATGATGATCCTGACAATAACAAGAGGTGATCCGCACTAGATGCGGATCACCAATAATAATATAATTTAATAATAATAATAATAACAACAATAATGGTAAGAACACAAGCTAAAGAAAGTCTGTATGGTAGGCTTAGGCTTCCATCAAATCATAAATCACACATTCTACATTTCTAATGTGGAGTACTGTTTAGTATGTTGTTTTTATTACTTTAATCCTGTGACTGCAATGTAAATAAGTTTGTGGCTATTATTACACCAGTCGTAAACCAATTCTACCTGTAGGCTATTATTTTTATGTTTATGTGTCATAACAGAAATGCATTGAAGATGATATACAGTAGGTCATTCTCAATCACATTCTCAAGCTACACTAGCGGATCACCTCTTCTTATTGTCAGGATCATCATTCAATTCAATTCAATTCAATTCAATTTATTATATCATTTGCAACGCATACATTACATCACATAGAAAATATTGTGGCTCTTTTTAACATGGACCAACGTCCAATTCGGCAAACAAGGAACAAATGGAAAAACAGTGAATTATCAGAGCAACGGACACAATGAAATGCTATTGTATTGCATTGAGGGCCCGGATGGCTGACGGAAAGAAACTCTTTTGGAACCTGCTCATTCGAGCATAAATTGACCGATATCTTCTCCCACTGGGGAGCAATTCAAAGAGAGAGTTACCAGGGTGTGTTGGATCTTCAATTATACATTTTATTTTTTTAAGCATTCATCATCATCTTCATCTTTTTTGGTGATCCGCATCTAGTGTGGATCACCTATTGTTATTGTCAGGATCATCATCATCTTCATTGGTGATCCGCATCTAGTGTGGATCACCTATTGTTATTGTCAGGATCATCATCTTCATCTTTTTTTTATTCTTCTTTCTTTCTCCCCTTTTCTGTTCGCACGATATCTCAAAAAATGCCACGAGTTGCGCACAATTGCTGTCAGCGAACATTTGGCTTGGTCTGGAATAGTCATGGTAAGCTTTTCAACGCGCTCAGTAATGCGTGACGTCATCTACGCGCAATTTTGCGTTTTTACATTATCGATCATATCAGCCTAACCAATTGCCATTTCAAAATCGTATTAAGTGAGCATTAACTTCGGGTTAATGTTGAATGTACTGTACCCTAATTTTACGCGTGCGCTTCATAACGCGCGCGCACACGTGCATCTAAATTTTAAAATGCTCGAAATCACTTTTTAACTAAATTACAGCACGTTTCAGGCCATTTTGAGCATTTCAATTTTTTTTCAAATTTTCCATTACGCGCGCGCATTTTGACCGCGCAGCACGTATGGAAGCTAAACACTATGTTCTTTTACATAGTTTGGGTTCCTGACATTGTTTTCACAAACTTTCTTTCTTTTCGGTCTTCTTTTGGCCAATAGTAATGCCGTACATGTGCATCAAATATAGGTATCTTTGCGCGGATTTGTGCCGATATACAGTGAAAATATGCTAAAATCAGACCTATTTTTAAACAGTTATAGCTCTTTAGGTTGAAAGGTGACCCCCATTTTCATTACATATTCTGAAAGCACATAAGTTGTAAATATGATTTTATAGATCATAATGGCTGATCGGAGATTGTGACGTCATCATATTGGCATCTGAATTCAAAGAAAGTGATTTATAGCTATGACGTCATTTTTGAAAATACGCATTTGAGCGTACCTCGCTTATCCTTGGTCGATCGTCTTCCAACTTTGAGTATGGTATAGCTGAAACAATTCTCTTTCATATATTTGACTCCTTTTTACATTTTGATGACGTCATCATGGTCAAAAAATTGTTTTTTCTGACCCCCTCATTTCTCTTTCTTCAAAACGTTGATGACCGCATATAATCTTAACCATTCGTCATTTCTAAATCATATTAGGTGAGCATAAGCTTCAGGTCAAGGTTGAATGTTATGTACCTTAACTTTCCGTTCGCGCTTTTTAGCGTGCACGTACGCGTGCGTCAACATTTATATATGCATAAAACCATGAATATTTTTAATCAGTTATAGCTCCTTAGGATGAAAGGTGACCCCCAATTTTTATTACATAATCTGGAAGCACATGAGTTGTAGATACGATTTTTTACTTCATAATGACTGATCGGACATTGTGACGTCATCATATTGGCATTTGAATTAAAAAACTGAATTTTTATTTATGATGCCATTATGTTTATACTCGTTGGAACGTATCTCGCTTATCCTTGGTCGATCATCTTCCAACTTTGAGTATGTTATATATTTGACTTTTTTTTACATTTTGATGACGTTATCGCATGGTCAAAAAAATTGTTTTTTCTGACCCCCTCATTTTTTCTTTCTTCAAAACGTTGATGACCCCATATAATCTTAACCATTCGTCATTTCTAAATCATATTAGGTGAGCAT